CCCCAAAACCCCAAAACCCCAAAACCCCAAAACCCCTCTTTATATTAATTAAATTGAAATAAAGGCATTAGAAAAAGTACTAGAATTTGCTATTTCCATTTGTTCAGCTCCATAACTGGCTTAATAATCTGACATGTAAAATATATAAGGAAGAGCCGCTTAATTATATTCCAAATAAGAAGCATCGGGGTAATCATAAGACACGTAGAAAGAGGAAGATCAATAGGAGAGAGAAGACTATCAGGTAAAGTTTATTTCAAATATTTTGTTCAGCTTGATTTGTAAATTCCATAATAGTTTGGCATGCATTCGCTACGCTTTGGGAGGAATATTGAATTTCTGTATCTTTTAGGACTTTTTGGTATTAAAATCGGTGCAGACTTAATCGTTCTATGCTTTTTACTCAGTGGTATTAACATACTTCTTTCTAGGCGTTCGCTAGATTTTGAAAATGACCAAATGCTTGAGCTCAGAGGTCCTGTTTTAAAGTGTAAGTTACGAAAGCCAAAATCTCTGAAATACACAGATCCTAATTTAAATATAGCTAAAAACAAATTATATTCAAACAGATCATCATGCAATCAAACGAATGTAATCTATACCAGAATTATCGCATTCGCCTATAACCAGAAAAAGATAAAGAACGGCAGTCTTAAGAGGCACAGAAGGAAATGATCGATCGCAGGTAGGCTCCCTGGACATGAATTAAGAGTTAACCAATAGTTGATGAACCTAAGCCAGAATCAAATGAGTTTACTCTCCCAAAGGAGATAACTCACCAAGATTCGCTAGGTCTTGTGATGCCAGACAAAGGAGGCAAAACAGCCTCTACCAGGATCAATCTGGTAGTAAGCAGGAAAGAAAAGAGGTAAACTAGGATGTAATCAATAGAAAATCAATTCTTTCAAACAAAAATAGTCCAAGAAAAATTCAGAGTAAGAAAAGATTGCTGATCAGGATTTCTCAGCTTTCAATATTATCTAAATCTACGGAACCAGCTCAAAAGAGAGATTTCAGAGAGAAATAAAACTCAGATGAAGAACAAGCTCAAGAGCATACATTCCAGGAAAGGGAGTATGATTTTAAAACATAACAAATCCGAACCAAAAGACGCAAGTTTACTAATTTTGGAAGGCTAATCAACTAGGATTCTAAATTTTTTTTTGGGATCATTCCAAATCTGTTTCTTTAAACCCTAAAACTTCCACCCATGAGAAATCAAGACTAGGAAATAAACTAAAAGTGAACTCGAAGGCAAAGCTGATATCTTCTAACTATGTCTGAAGAGTGTCCTCAACTCAGAACAGAAGAGAAGGGAAGGGAAGAGACATTTTAAGAATAGAGGCAAGGCTAATGTCAAAGTTCCGATTGAAAATTTCTCAGAGGCTGATATAAATACTAAGGATTTGTACAGTCAGATTCCTGACTCAGAGATCATCCTTGGGGATAATCTTGACACCAAGCTAAATATTATCTAAAAGATCTTTAGCAAAACTATAATGCAGAGAAGAATCTAAAAATGAGTATTAAGAAGTTGATAAGGAATTAAATGAAGAAAATTTATAAACAATCAGAGACTCTGAAATAGAGGATAAGCAGAATCGAGGGTAGAGTATTATGATCAATCTTTTATTATAATGATGTACTTGTCAGAAGCAAATAGTCAAAGGTTACAATATGTGGATTATTCCATCACTGATTTAGACTTACAAGAAATGATGATGTCTCTAAAGGAAAATGAGCATTCACAGATCCCTACTTTGTTTCAGCGACAGCTAAGGTGGGCATATGAAGGTTTGGAAATTCTAAAGCAGCTTGATAATGTAATATAGGTTATTAAAAATCTCCTCTTTTCCTTAATTTCACACTTTTTAGGTGAAAATTTACAACCAAGTCTACAATCTAAATGAGATCTATAAGAAGCAGACTACCATGCGTAAGCTAAATAATTGTTTCTCCCCTCAAACTCCTGACGAATCATGGTCTAGATTCAGTAAACATAGAATAAAAAGCAAGGGGAATTGCTCAAAAATCTGCAAAAATGAATCTAAGACTGGGATCCAAGACTCGTATCTTAGTTTTAAACTATCTGCAGAAAAAGAGGTTGCTCCAACCCAACAAATCGCAGCCAAAAAGAGGCAATTTAGGAAGGAATTATTGAATTCTGATTGTGAGATCCTTAAAGCTACTCACTCGCACATTCCTTCTTTTGCACCAAGATCAGCGATTAAGGTACCTACTTTGATTCCTTGATCAAAGATTTTGAAAAGGAAAAACTCTCACAAAGTAAAAAGAAAATACCAGAAATCAGACCATCCCAGTGAAGCTCTAATTTGATCAAATTTTTCGCATAAAAATAGAGCTGTTTGCAAGCTTCAGCCATAATTTTAGTTGATTATTTCAACCAAGAGCTGACCAAGGAGTCGTCATTTCTTGAATTAGTCCAGGAGGAACTCTCTAAATCACAGATAGCTCATATGAGGATAAACCCTGCTTCAACATTAGAGGAGGCCAAAGACCTTAAGACAGTCAATAAGCCTACCCTACCACTTAATAGATGGATTCCTGATGAATACTGTCATAAATGCATGAGATGAAAAAGAGAGTTTGATCTCTTTGCCCGTAAACATCATTGCAGGAGATGAGGAAACCTCCTTTGCTATAACTGTTGTGGAAATTGGGTAAGAATCAAAGATCTTTTTGAAGCAGGCCTTGACAAAGGACAGAAGAAGATCTTCTGACTACAACATCCAGAGTATAGTAATATTTGTAAGAAGAAACAGAAGGTGAGGATCTGTAATGATTGTCATGATTTCCTCCAAGAATCCAAGCTATCTGTATAAATTTTAATATATCTTTTTAGTTCAAGACTAGAGGGCGTTTTTGGGGTTTTGGGGTTTTGGGGTTTTGGGGTTTTGGGG